AACAATAATATTAATAATAATATTTATTATTATCATGTTAATGAATGCTGTTATAATAATAATAATAAACCTCTTTTGAAATGCTTTTCTTTAGTTGACAACATTTATAAAAGCATTCTCGTTAAAAACTTAGAAAGATGTTTATCAGCCACTCAAACTCAAACAGCATTTGCAAATTTGATAATCATGCTAAACCATATCATGTTCCCAGGAATTGTTAGAATTAATAAAAATAAAAAGAAATAAAAAAACAGCCAACTGGCATTTGGTGCTTTGGTGTGTTAATTTTAGGCCCTGTCTGCACAATATTGGTCAAACTAGTTTTCAGTGATTACCTTCAACAAGTAATGACTGTAATGAAAACAGGAAAACAAAGCCAAAAACCAGATATTTTAGGCAACTTAGAAATCCCGGCCAGGACATATCCAGGACACAGAGCACATATAGCCACCTTAACCAACACTTCATCGTACCTCAGTTTTTGCTCTTTGGTTGGTTTTCAGAACGGCCAGATTGTGATACTTGCACATCTGCAGAGCCTGTTTGTGTTTCCGCACCAAATCCTGCTTGAGAGCTGAAACACACACACACACACACACACACACAGACAGATCACACACAGTCAACATCTTACAGTTTTCAGCATGGCCTGAAACACTCACACACACACACACACACCTCTGTGCTCGCAGTGTAGTTTCTGTCTCTGGTTGTAGAGGTTTTACTCCATCAGGTGTTGAATGTCCAGCAGCCCTTGAATTATTTCATACACCGTCCCATCGATGAGCGCTTGAGCCAGATCATTGAGCGTGGTGTAGGACAGATGCTGCTGAAACGAGCTGAAACAAACCTTTATTTCTCCAACTACAACAGCAGAGTGAGCAGAAAGAGTTTTCACTGCCAAACGATCACTAAACATTATATACATGAAGATTTGGAAGGAAAACTACAAAATCCGTTCAACTATTTGCCGTAATGCATTTTATTATATCTATTTCTGTACTTTTCTTGAAAGTTTTCATACTCATTGATAGATACTGTATTTGCTCGTTTTAATCATAAACTCACATAATTTTGTTCATTTTCTCAGAAAACAAGACTTCATATCTTCAATTTGCATGTCCAATAAATGTATCTTGATTTAAGGATGTTTAGATATTTGCATTGTAAAACAAAAACACTGAGGATGATATTCATTTTTTTGGTAGTGCATGTAATATTTAATGCCATGACTTTATGAATTAAGACGTTCTGCTCTGATTTAAGACCTTTTTAAGGCCTTAATTTGTGTAATTAATACTTTTTAAGACGATGTAATGATGTGATGTGATGTGATGTGATGTGATGTGATGTGATGTGATGTGATGTGATGTAATGTTGATGGATGTGATGTGGTGATGTGATGTGATGTGATGTGATGTGATGTGATGTGATGATGTGATGTGATGTGATGATGCGATGCGGTGCTGTGATGTGATGCGGTGATGTGATGTGATCATGTAATGTGATGTGATGTGATGAAATGTTAAGTGATTATGTAATGTGATAATGTGATGTGATGTGATGTGATGTGATGTGATGTGATGCGATGCGATGTGATGATGGGATGGGATGTGATCATGTAATGTAAATGTGATGATGTGATGTGATCATGTAATGTGATGTGATGATGTGATGCGATGATGTGATGTAATGTTAAGAGATTATGTAATGTGATGATGTGATGTGATGATGTGATGTAATGTTAAGAGATTATGTAATGTGATGATGTGATGTGATGATGTGATGTAATGTTAAGAGATTATGTAATGTGATAATGTGATGTGATGATGTGATGTAATGTTAAGAGATTATATAATGTGATGATGTGATGTGATGCTGTGATGTGATGTGATCATGTAATGTGATGTGATCATGTAATGTGATGTGATGATGTGATGATGGGATGTGATGTTGGGATGTGATGATGGGATGTGATGTGATCATGTAATGTAAATGTGATGATGTGATGTGATCATGTAATGTGATGTGATGATGTGATGTGATGTGATCATGTAATGTGATGTGATCATGTAATGTGATGTGATCATGTAATGTGATGTGATCATGTAATGTGATGTGATCATGTAATGTGATGTGATCATGTAATGTGATGTGATCATGTAATGTGATGTGATCATGTAATGTGATGTGATCATGTAATGTGATGTGATCATGTAATGTGATGTGATCATGTAATGTGATGTGATCATGTAATGTGATGTGATCATGTAATGTGATGTGATCATGTAATGTGATGTGATGATGTGATGTGATCATGTAATGTGATGTGATGATGTGATGTGATCATGTAATGTGATGTGATGATGTGATGTGATCATGTAATGTGATGTGATGATGTGATGTGATCATGTAATGTGATGTGATGATGTGATGTGATGATTATTACATAGATAGTTTCGTAATCGATATGAATTATTTATTGATCGTTAGTGTCTTTTCAGCTTGTAAAATGGTAAATCTCTTATAACTGACACTAAAAACAGAGATTCAACTGAACGAAACTCTTGCCTGCTTTATATTTCGGCTTCTGGAGAGGAAAAGACTGATGCTTAAGGCGTGTCGAGTTTAAATACGAACGTATGTTTGATGTTTATTATGTATAATAACAAATTACAGACTCAAGTGACAATTCTTTTGAACTGTGCGTGCAAGTTTGCGCATGCGCACCAGTGGCGTCCTGAGGTCCTTCAGCATGAGGGGCTGCTCTTTCATATGTCTAGAAGTTTTCTTAGTTTAATAATTCATTCATAGACATAATAGATTTATTATTATGTCTAAGTTTTAATTCATATTTAATTAATATTTTTGTTCAACTTATTGTTACATACTGCAGCTCTTATTCCTTATTTTGTATTGCATTCATTTTTGGAATCTGATTACGTAATCCAGATTATATGTAATCAGTTACAACCCAGCTATATATATTTGTTTTAAATAAGTCTCTTCTGCTCATCAAGGCTTCATTTATTTGATCAAAAATACAGAAAAAAACAGTAATATTGTACAATGTTATTGCAATTTAAAATAATGGTTTTCTATTTTAATATACTTTAAAATATTGTGATGATTATTACATAGATAGTTTCGTAATCGATATGAATTATTTATTGATCGTTAGTGTCTTTTCAGCTTGTAAAATGGTAAATCTCTTATAACTGACACTAAAAACAGAGATTCAACTGAACGAAACTCTTGCCTGCTTTATATTTCGGCTTCTGGAGAGGAAAAGACTGATGCTTAAGGCGTGTCGAGTTTAAATACGAACGTATGTTTGATGTTTATTATGTATAATAACAAATTACAGACTCAAGTGACAATTCTTTTGAACTGTGCGTGCAAGTTTGCGCATGCGCACCAGTGGCGTCCTGAGGTCCTTCAGCATGAGGGGCTGCTCTTTCATATGTCTAGAAGTTTTCTTAGTTTAATAATTCATTCATAGACATAATAGATTTATTATTATGTCTAAGTTTTAATTCATATTTAATTAATATTTTTGTTCAACTTATTGTTACATACTGCAGCTCTTATTCCTTATTTTGTATTGCATTCATTTTTGGAATCTGATTACGTAATCCAGATTATATGTAATCAGTTACAACCCAGCTATATATATTTGTTTTAAATAAGTCTCTTCTGCTCATCAAGGCTTCATTTATTTGATCAAAAATACAGAAAAAAACAGTAATATTGTACAATGTTATTGCAATTTAAAATAATGGTTTTCTATTTTAATATACTCTAAACTGTAATTTATTCCTGTGATGCGCAGCTGTATTTTCAGCATCATTACTTCAGTCCTGTGATAACTTTTTCAGGATTCTTTGATGAATAAAGTTAAAAAAAACAGCATTTATTTCAAATAGAAATCTTTTCTAACAATATAAGTCTTTATGATCACTTTTTTTTATCAATTTAACACATCCTTGCTGAATAAAAGCATTACTTTCTTTCAAAGAAAAAAAAGAAAGAAAGAAAGAAAATTACTGACCCCAAACTTTTGAACAGTAGTGTATATTGTTACAAAAGATTTCTATTTTAAATAAATGCTGTTATTTTGATCTTTTTATTCATCAAAGAATCCTGAAAAAAGTATCACAGGTTCCAAAAAAAATATTAAGCAGAAAATCTGTTTCCAATATTGATAATAAATCAGCATATTAGAATGATTTCTGAAGATCATGTAACTCTGAAGACTGAAGTAATGATGCTGAAAATACAGCTGCGCATCACAGGAATAAATTACAGTTTAGAGTATATTAAAATAGAAAACCATTATTTTTAATTGCAATAATATTTCGCAATATTAATGTTTTTTTCTGTATTTCTGATCAAATTAATGCAGCCTTGATGAGCAGAAGAGACTTCTTAAAAAAAAAATACATTAAAAATCGTACTGATCCCAAACTTTTGAACGGCAGTGTGTATGTATATATACAGTATATTGGGAATGTTATATACTGTAGTATAACGTTGTGATGTGAACGACGTTTCTGTGGTTACAGCAGCAGGACGCTGCACTGTGCGTCGCTCACCAGCAGATGTCGCTGTTCACTCAGTTTCTCATCAGCATCACTGAAGCCTCATCATCATCATCATCTCATCATCACCCGAGAACAGAGACAGAGGCATCACGACTCACGCACTGTTGCAATGACAATAATGCATCTAGATCGCATAATGACTACAGAAAACATTAACGGCACCGATGCATAACTGATCGAGTGCATCGATGGGCGCAGGATCAATGGATCTGGATTTACGCAGGTGAAGCCGGTGTGAAACTCCAGAGCGGATCTGATCATATCATCACCTGAACATCATGATATAGTTATTGCATTGAAGATATGCTTTATTTGACTTCTTTTTGGATCTTGCAGGCGACGTTATAATTGAATTCATGCCATGTCTTTTAGATTAGGTTTTTATCTAAGTGTCTTCATCCCTCCTGATCTGAGCTTCAGGTTTTTGATCATGATGCTTCTCGGGGTTTGACCAGCTCTGATCCAGTCCTGCAGATCTTCAGTGACATGAGCTCCTCTCATCATGGCCAGAAACACTTCTCTCTACTTTCGCATCGTCGAGGGACGCAATCTGCCTGCAAAAGACGTGTAAGTTCACGCAAAAGAGCCTGGCTCTCGTGAGAGTTATGCTACTGATCACAAATGTTTCCTGCTCACAGAAATATGTTTGGCTTCAACGTTGAAAACGTTATTTCTGAATGGTCTCTGAACGGTTTTTTTTTTTTTTACTATCTTTTATTTTATTTCCTTGGTCATGCTGTTAATTTTGCAAACATTATGGGAACGTTACTTGTTAATGTCCTCTGTTATAAAACAATGGGAATGTTATCAGTGTTGGGGAAAGTTACTTTTAAAAGGAATGCGTTACAATTTTGCGTTACTCCCTAAAAAATTAACAAATTACGGAAAGTAATGCGTTGCGTTACCTTTGCGTTACTTTTTAAATCTGGGCTGGGCTTGCTTGCTTGTTTTTAATATAAAAAATTCTATTTTGGCAAATGTAAAAAAGTGCCAAAAGTGAAATGAATAAGCCTCAGGCTGGATGAAATGTAAATTCATGTCTGTACAGACAGCGCCGCTCAAACAAACCTCTCAACATAAATGTTATGTTTATTTAAAGTCATTTTTGCTTAGCATGGTTTAATTGGAGCATTGAAGTTCAGCAGCAAAGACATTGATAAAATGGGATTAAATACATAAAGGATATTTGTATTATTTAATATATTTAATTATTGCATGGTTGCGTCACATTCTGAGTTTGCATTTCACGGCTTTATACATTTTGAGGAATACTGAATCTGTTTTTGTGCAAGTGTGATGAGTAACATTGTGTTCACACACACACACATCTGCACTCACTCCTGATTTCTCTCAGCATGACGACAGGAGAGCTGCAGTCAATACATGAGAAAACTCAAATATTTCATTGTAAATTTAAAAGTAATGCATTACTTTACTTGCTACTTGAAAAACGTAATCTGATTACGTAACTTGCGTTACTTGTAATGCGTTACCCCCAACACTGAGTGTTATTAAAGACCAGATAACATTGAATAAACGTACTATTAATGTTACTGGAAAACCATTTGTACATAACTATGACAGAATGTTCTGGTAATATTCCTATTAAGTTATGAAAATGTTATTTCTGAATGTTCTCTGAACGTTCAAAACATTAAAATGTAACGTTAAAAAAACATTAGACCAACATCCAACTAAAATGTCTCATTTATGTTTTAAACATGTTTTTTTTTTTTCTTGGTTAAGCGAACATTCCATTTTATAATTGTGAAAACATTACAACAACATTACTTTTGAATGTCCAGTGAACATTCTAAAACGATTAGTAAGTAGGCAAGTAACATTTGAAAAACTAAAACGTTCTGTGAGCATCGTATAAATAATGTTTTTGAGCTAACGTTTCGAGAATGTTATTAAAAAACTTCAAACAAATGTTCTATTAAAGTTACTGGAAAACCGTTCATAAGTATGAGAGAACTTGCCAGAACGTTCTGAGAATGTTCTCAAGTGTTTGATCTAGTACTCTGTCGTCATTATGCTGTTGACATGAGGATGATGTGTGTTTTTGTCAAGTTCTGGGACCAGTGATCCGTACTGCATCATCAAAGTTGACAATGAGGTCGTGGCCAGGTGAGTGTCACATTCTCACCTGTGTGTGTGTG